TATTTCATTATACATATTATAGCAGGATATGAATAACGATATGATTTTTTTCCACATGTAATTGATTATATTACTATAATAACTTAAATAACATAACTAATGTTTCATTTAGGGAGTGGAATAGAGACCAGATGGAGTGGTACCTAAACTAATAGTTTGGAAACCACCTACACCACCACCAACCTGGAAGCTACTTCCTGAACCTACATTACCTCCTGCAAATCCTCCGCTAACTGCACCAAATCCACTGCTTGCATCAACGCCTACTGCTCCGTTAGCTGTTCCAAATCCACTGCCTGCACCAACTCCACCTACTCCGCTAACCGTTCCAAATCCACTGTCTCCACCCACTCCTCCAATGTTACCACCTAATCCAGCTCCGGCGGCTCCAATTACTTGTCCACCAGCTTCAGCAGCTGAGCCAAGAGCAGTATTGAGATCCACACCAATGGGTAGAGTTGGGTTCTCACCCTCTTCATAATTGACGAAGTAGATTTCAGGATCTGATGGAGGATGGGCAGGAACCTCGATAACACGCTGAGCTTGTTCGTCCTTTTTGTTGAGAACATAGACGATATTCTCCTGCCTTGGTGGAGGAACAATGATGGGTTCAGGTCCTTCTCCTTCTTCTGGAAGTCGCACGAAGAGAATGTTATGGTCAACTCTTGGAGGAGGAACGCTTGGTGGAGGACCAATAGGTTCTTTTTGTTCAGGGACATCAAAGACGAATACATTCCTGTTAACAACTGGTGTAACGCAAGAGCCGTCCACATGTCGAACTTGTCCTTCTCCACATGGTTCCAAAACTGCAGCACCATCGCCTCCTGCAACGGAGAGGCCGGTTCCTGTGGCCTGACCAAATCCAGAGGAAAGACCACCTCCTACACCATGCCCAGCACCAGCTGAAATACCACTGCCAACTCCATGTGCACTTCCAGCATTAATCCCAACTCCTACTCCATGTCCACCGCTGACTCCCACAGAAAATCTGTTTCCCGTGGATTGTCCAGGGCCAGTAGATAATGAAGAACCAGCTGGTCTCTGCAGACTGTAACCCTGGAGAGCTGCAGACGTTGTTGCAGCGAGTGCACAAGTCAGTACCTATGGTAAACATTAGAAAGTGATTGATAACAGAGAATGTTGAAGTTTTATTTTAAGAATTTATTTGTGAACAATTAACTCAATTTATATTTCATGGGCTATATACATTTCTTAAAAATATTTTCCATAAACTAATGTAGTTTCTGCAACAAAGAAATGGGACATTAATTTTCGATCTATTATTCTCTGAACTCACAAGGAACCTCATGTTGAGAGACTGTATATCGAGATAAGTTACGTTACCTTTTATATACTCGTTCACCAGCAATGATGACCTTGCTTATTCCATTTCTCTTTTCAACTTACACGGTTTGCTTTTTTCTTTTCATTTTTTTTTTCTTTTTACAACAGGTTTCTTAACTTACAAAATAATTTATATGTATGCACATTTTCTTTGTAGAACTCATGGAACTTTGGACTACTATTATTTTTCATATATTCCTTATTGTGCCTGTATATACATACTTGCATTCATACAAACGTACACACACACACACGCACACACACACACACACATATATATATATATATATATATATATATATATATATATATATATATATATATATGTATATATATATATACCTACATATATTTATGTGTATATATATATATTCATATTCATATATATATATATATATATATATATATATATATATATATATATATATATATATGCAGTGTGAGGATGATATGTTAGCTGTACTCACCACCAGTCAAAACGGAGAGGAACCAGGTCCTGTTCCCAGTGCTGAATCAACCGAAGGTCAATTTCATATATTTGATACATACATATTCACACACACACATACACATACACATGCACAGATATATATATGTTACAGGCAATATATGAAACCAGTCATATATATGTATATATATATATATATATATATATATATATATATATACATACATATGTATACATATGTATATTTATATGTATATATATATATATATATATATATACATATATGTATATATATATATATATATATAAACACACACACACACACACACACACATACACACACACACACACACACACACACACACACACACATATATATATACATATATATATATATATATATATATATATACATATATATATATATATATATATATATATATATATATATATATATATATACTTATATATATGTATATATATATATATATATATATATATATGTATGTATATATATGCATATATATATATATATATATATATATATATATATATATATATATATATATATGTATATATATGCATATATATACATATATATATATATATATATATATATATATATATATATATATATATATATATATGCATATATAGCATATATATACATGCATATATATATATATACATATATATATATATATATATATATATATATATATATATATATATATATATATATATATGTGTGTGTGTGTGTGTGTGCGTGTATATGTGTGTGTGTGTATCTATATATATG